CAGCTGGCTCTTGGTTCTTCTTCTTCCTACCCTTTCGAGCTTTCTGGGATCCCAGCACTGCATTCCTAGGTGGGTTCTGAGGCTCCTTGGGCATCACTGACTTTGTGCCCTTGCTGGGGTCCAATAAGCAGGCCGAGTCCAGGTTTTCTTCCGAGTCCAATGGCAATCCCTCCTTCTCAGGGCAGAGGGCTATCTTGGGCACAGCTTCCTCCCTCTCTGACTCCAGCGTGGGCATGAGCAACTGCAAGGCAGGACTAGCCTCTAGTGAGTCACCCAGGAGCACAGGCTGAGGTCCAGTAGGGATCTGCCGCACCACAACTGGGATCTCCAGGTCATCACCTGCTGTGGCCGCCTGGCCCACAATCTCCAGCACCACACAACCATCAGGCAGTGTCAGATCATCTGGCTGCTCCTGAAGCTCCTCCTCAAGTGATGCTAGGTGAGCAAGATTGGGCAGGCAGTACGGGTGCATGGCCCGCACCAGTTCGCTCAGGGAGGAGATGCTCTCATCGCCAGCTGCTGGAACGGACGTCACTGCTGCTGGTACCTTATCTTCCTCCTCGGGGGAGGACAGGTGCATAGGGAAGTCTGAGATGCTGCTCACAGAGCTGTCAAGATCCCCAGCCAGCATCTGGCCGCTAAAGTTGGCTGCCTCCTCCTCCTCTTCTCCATCACTGCGCTGCTGGGGAGGAGGGGATTGACCCCAGCGTGGTCTTGATCTTGAGGGTCTCCAGCTAGGAAGACGAGGGGAAGATGTCTCCAAGAAGGATGGTGGGGAGAAGTCCCAAGGGGGATCCGCGAGAGACATCTCAACCTGCTAAAGAGAAAAGAAGCCTCAGAAGTATTTTCCAGGAAAGTATTTTCCTGATTTGTCCCCACACACTCCCCCTACTAGAGGCTCCCTAAGTTGAGTCTACCCCACTCACTCTAGCACTGCCTGTGCTGGGCCCCAGTGGGTCAACCGGGGTGATGAGGTCACGGTCTGGGGGTGTCCGAGAAAGACTGAGCAGTTTGTGCAGCTAAGAGGGAGAGAGAGACCTGAAATCAGTTTGTGCTTCAGAAATACGCAAGTAGGCCCACCTTTTCTCCAACCACCCATCCCTTGTCCTGGTCCCACACTCACAGATGAGCCTTCCCGAGGTGACACAAGCAGCTCCGAATCAGGGATGCTGTCAAACGGAGAGAGGTTCTCAGAATCTGCATTGTCCAAGATCTCCGTCAGAGCTGTGAGCAGCGACACTTCATTCTGGTCCTCCAGAGATAACCTGCTCTGCTCCAGAAAGACAACGGGAGGTTCCTACTCATATCTCTAATAACCCACTGGGCCACGGAAAAGGACTGGATGCCAAAATCAGTCTTCTGGGTTTGGCTCAGCTCGACTTGCCATGGACAGAGATCTGGTACCAGGAAGTAAGTGTTCCAATCTCATTTACCATCTACCACTTCTCCAGTGTCCACAGAGACCTGTCAGACTTGAGTCTTAAGCTTGGATTGGTCAGCAGATAACCCTGGCTAGGCTGGAATTGGGCTCAAAAACCCAGATCACAGCCCTCTGAACATGTAGGTCAGGAGCCCAGATCGGGGAGGGCCTCGGACTGCAGTCCATGCTAGCCTGGGCATCTCACACAAGACATCCTCTGGCAGCCTGCAGTCTAACTCCTACCTATAGACAAACATACTTCAATGACTCAGGGTGGGTACTCAGGAGCGAAGGTCCTCCAAGGCAGAACCATACCTAAAACAACTCCAAAATGTGAGCTAGAGCGTGCTATGCAGAGATGCTGCCTAAGACCTCCAATCCCAGCCCAGCTCACCTCTCCAAGGCTCCCAAAATCTTCAATGAGTGAGATGAGGGAGGCATCCATGTAGCTCTGCATGGTCCCCAGCAACGTCTCATCCTGCAGCATCAGCTCCTCCATTTCTAGGTCCTTGTCCCGCAGAGAGGGGCCCAGCCGAGACAGACTCACAAAACCAGAATCATCCCCCTGCTCATGCAGCAGCACCTGGGGCAAAAGGGGGGAGGGTCAGAAGGAAATGGGCCCCTGGGGCAACTGATCGATATGCTCCATCTACAGGCCCAATTTCTACCAAACTTCTGGGTTAGCTGGGCAGAGAATTACAACCCGTGAGTTAGAACCCCAACCAGGATGGCAGTGTTCAAGAATCTTCTGGATAGGAAAAAGTTGGACTCCATCCAGAAATACTTGGAGCCATAGGAGATTTTTAAACTGTGGAGTAAAAACATCAAAAAGATCAAGATCGTTCAGAAGTCATCTGTGGACACTGGTGAAGGGACAGTCTGAGAGCTACACCAAAGGAAAAGTCAGCAAGGAGACAGTTGGAGCTATGATGGCTTTACCTACCATGAGTCCCACTCAGGTCTCTGTTCTCTGCCTAGTTCAAATTCTCCCTTCTTCAAAAACACACCTCAGGCCCATGCTGATCTCTCTGCACTCCTAAATTCACATACTTTCCCACAGCATTTGCTTTCCTGGCAATCACATCCTGCCCTCCAATCCAATGATATTATTTGCTTTGCCACTGAAGATAGATTCTGAATTCCTTTAGGGCAAAAAACCCTTTGGCTTTTATTAGCTTTTTTTTAAAGAATTATTTTATTTAACTTTATTTATTTAAATTTGACTAGAGAGGGACAGAGTGAGAGAAAGAGAGGGAGAGGGAAAGTGAGAAAGCAAGTCACCAGGTCCAGGACTTGAACCATGATCAGCCAAGTGGGAGTCCAGCGTCTTTAACCACCATGCCTCCTGCTGGCCCTATTAACTTATATTCTTCTTGGCTCCTAGAAGAGTGACCACTCTTCCCAGTTATCCATGATGCCTGGCACAGTCTTATCAACACTTGATATTAACATGCATTTCAGATTTTTATTTTAAGACCCAAAAATGTGCCATCCAACCTTTCAATGGTAGTTCCAAAGGAACTCTCTTTCCTACCCGTACCGGGAACAGTGAAAAAAGGAGAAAGTTTGATGCTATAGTAGAGAGCCCCCCCGCAAACACTCCTGAGAGCTAGCAACATCTTCAGCCTTGTCAGGCAGGGAGCCGCCCGCCCAGACCTGTCAAGTGTGGGTGTGGGCAGGGCCAGAAGTGGCTGGAATGGACTAGTAAGGCCAGAGCCGCAGGTATCTCCACTACAGCAAACGCACTACAAAGACCCGAGAGCAGAAATTAAACAATTCTTAAAAAAAAAAAAAAAAAAAAAGACAGAAATTACTCCAGTCCTGAGGAGACTCTGAGCATTCAACAAACATCACCAGTGACTGTGGGACTAGAGAGGGACAGAGTGAGAGAAAGAGAGGGAGAGGGAAAGTGAGAAAGCAAGTCACCAGGTCCAGGACTTGAACCATGATCAGCCAAGTGGGAGTCCAGCATCTTTAACCACCATGCCTCCTGCTGGCCCTATTAACTTATATTCTTCTTGGCTCCTAGAAGAGTGACCACTCTTCCCAGTTATCCATGATGCCTGGCACAGTCTTATCAACACTTGATATTAACATGCATTTCAGATTTTTATTTTAAGACCCAAAAATGTGCCATCCAACCTTTCAATGGTAGTTCCAAAGGAACTCTCTTTCCTACCCGTACCGGCAACAGTGAAAAAAGGAGAAAGTTTGATGCTATAGTAGAGAGCCCCCCCGCAAACACTCCTGAGAGCTAGCAACATCTTCAGCCTTGTCAGGCAGGGAGCCGCCCGCCCAGACCTGTCAAGTGTGGGTGTGGGCAGGGCCAGAAGTGGCTGGAATGGACTAGTAAGGCCAGAGCCGCAGGTATCTCCACTACAGCAAACGCACTACAAAGACCCGAGAGCAGGACCAAACAGACAAGCCAGACCCCACCTCTCCCCCCAACTCAAAGTTGAGGAGTGCAAGACCCAGGGACAGGAAAAGCTGACGAGGGATACTTTAGGCCAGGCGGAGATGAAGTGAAAGGTGGCAGATTTCTGGCACTAACCCCTCCAGGCCTTCACTATCCTGTAATTAACAGCAGCAGCTAAACATCACCTGGCTCAGCAACACCTGGGTGAGCAAAGAGCCTGCATCTCTACCTGCTCTGCCACCTACCATACCAGAGGCCCAGTTACTAGGCCAGACTCAGGACAATGCCTGGCTCCAGGAACTACTCATCTCCACCTCTATCAGACAGGTATTGGAGCCCCAGCCCAAGACTTCTCCCCTTACTGATCTCACCCATCCCTCAGTCCCCAAATCGCATAGCTCAGGCTGAATGAGAGCCAGCCACCAGAATCTTTAACTTCGACCAATTCCCAACTGGATTTCCCATGTCCATCCTGTCCTTCCAGTCAGAAACCTTTGAATATGCATGTCTGGTCGCTTTCTTTACAGAGACCCTCTGTAAATCCCTTTGGTGGCATTTCACTTTGCTTAGCATGAAGCTTAAGCTCCTTCTCATGGCTTGCAGAGGTCCTGGTCTTCCCTACCTCCCTTCTACTTCGTGTCTTCTCCAACGGTCTGCCAAGTGAATACATCTCAGTTTCCCCAAAAAGCCATGGTCTCTCCCTCCTCAAGGTCTTCTCGCACTTCTGCAGTCTTCTGGTCTCAGCTTACAAAGACCAACAGATGGCATATGGCTATGTCGTTGGACTCCCATGTAGTCGACCGCAGTTCAAGTCCCAGACCCAGGTGGCTTAAACTCATGCCAGGCACGCGCATGTGTGTGTGTGTGTGTGTGTGTGTGTGCGCGCGCGCGTGCACGTGCGTCCCCAAGATCCCGAGAGGAGAATGGAGAAGGGATTACAGCCTGGCCATCCCCCCTGGGGGGTGATTTCTCGCTTTCTGTCTCTTTCTGGCGAGCGCATGCGTCCTATAGCAAAAACCTCTCAAAATAAGTAAATAAATAAATCCCTTCTCAAATAGATGACTGTTGTTAATTATACATAATCCCATATAGCCTATACTTTCCTTTTGTCTCACTCATTATTTCTTATCTCTCTATCTGGATTAAAACATAAGATCCTGGAAGGCAAGGGCTGTGTTTGTGTGCTTTACCAGTGTACCCCTGTGCCTGAACATAATGGTATCAGAACAGCTGGCCCACTGACTAGCTCCCATACACCCATCTTTGGTCAGTGTGGGGGGAAGGGCACCACACCTTCTCCATGAGATCCTCTGTATCAGCTCAATTTTGGATCCCTCTTGCCTCTTCCTTAAAGGGCATGCCTCACCAGCCCCAAAAGATGTGATCTCTGAGAAAATGAGAAAAAAGGGGTAGGCTTCTCCCAGATCCATATCCCAGAAACCACCTTCCCCTGGGCAAGAGCCTGAATTGGTATTCTGGACCTGACATTACCAGGCAGCTTGCAGCCCAACTCCCACCTAGAAACAAACAAATGCTGTCAAGGACTCAGCTTAAGGGCTTTAGAGATAAAGAGATAACAGTTCAAACTTATTCCTGCCCACTTCCACCAAGAGCGGGATCTTTCAAGAAGCCCTCCAATAAATAACAGTTAACGCTTTTCAAGTATGGAGAAAAGTATGGAGAACTGAAAACCAAGAAAAAAAGACCTTGCAGAAAGAGTTCCCCCTCATCCAATAGATGTTCAACTAGTGTTGGGTAGTTTTCACATCGCCTCCAACTTTCCCCATCTCCAGCAAAGACTCCAGGGAGCTTTAAACGCGCACCATCCCAATTTCTATGTCAGTTCACAGAAGCCAACCTTGGAAGCCTCCCCAATTTTTGAGCGTCGATTCCCGTCCTCTTACTTAAGCTCCTCGCAGGTGTACGCTGGCACTCATGTCCTTTGAATCACGAATGGGGCAGGACTGCGGGCAGCCAAAACGTCAGTGCCCGTGACTCACAACCCACCCCAAGCCGGTCAGACAGAAGCTGCCACAAGCTCACTCCTCCACAGCTCTCCAGTCTCAGCCCTTTACCCTCCCCATCGTACCCAATTATCCGCGAGGAACGGACTCCCCAAACATCTGGGACGTCCCCCGACACCATCCGCTGTCGAGAGGCGCTGCGGACCCAAGCCAAGAGAGAGAGAGAGAGAGAAAAAGAAAAGAAACTCCAAGACACAGAGCAAAGTTGACTACAGCAGTCTCTACCCGGCCAGGGTCTACCAGCCCCGGCCAGAGATGGCGGGACCGGTTGAGACACACCCAGTTCCCGGCAGTGCGGCTCTCGGGCCGACACCAGATGCCCGACAGCCTGGGACAGGAGCCACGTGGACATCCCCTCCCCGCCCCCACGTGGACCCGTGGCCCGCGCCAGCCCCCCCCCCAACAGGGAGTCCTACCCACGTGGGTGCTGGGGCCGCCTAGAGGGGGAGGGGAGGCAGACAAGTTCTCCCGGGAAAACTGCTCCCCCCACCACACGTGGCTCCGAAAAGGGAACTGCGGCGCCAGGCTAGAGTCCCATTCGGCATCCTCAGAGGGAGGATGGACTCCCAGTCTGAATCCCAGACTCCGCCACCCTGGGCCATGTTCCCGACACCGGGCTTTGCCCCTTCAGCGTTCCCCAGGAATGGCTGTAAGGATCCCGCCTCTGTCCGTGTAGCCCCTGCAAACGCCTTAGGTCCACTCGGCCAGACTCCGCTCCCATGGCCACCCGGCATCGACTCCCAAGCGCTTCCTCTCTTTCCTGTGGCGTCCACGTGTCACCGCCCGGCACGCCGCTTTGCTGCCAACCACGGGCCGCCCGCCAGCCTCTCACCTGCTCCCCGCCCCTCACAGAGGGCACGCCGCTTTGCTGCCAACCACGGGCCGCCCCCCAGCCTCTCCCCGGCCCCCCGCCGCTCACAGAGCCCACAGTCCCATACGGCGCTTGGCTCCGACTACCCCAACCGCTGCCTCGGACTCTCCCGCCCGGGTCCGGACCCGGGCCCCCACTCGGGGGCGGCGCGACTCCGTCTCTCCGTCCCCGGCGCGCCGCCATCTTGGCCCCTAAACGCCCAGCGCTGCTCTGATCGCCGGCGCCGCCTCGCCCAGCGGATTGTAGAAAGGGACTACAACTCCCGAGTGTCACTGCAAAACTACGGATCCCAGAAGGCCTTGCGGCGAGGCCCGCTTGCCCCGGGAAGAGGGCTCTGGCCTCGCGCGAGCGTTCCTGGGAGTAGTAGTCGCTTTAAACAAGCCGGCATATTATAGTGCTCCGTGTTGTGTTAGGTGGGGGGAGGACCAAGTTCGAGAGCGCGCGGTATTAACAGGGAGAGTTAACATTTGCATATTCTTTTATTTTCGTTCGTTTGTCCAACTATTGGAACGCCCGCTTTATCTGACGTTCTACCTACTGTTCCTTCCACCTTAGTCCAAGTGGGCTTACGTTTTGAAACAGCACCCCCTCGTGGGCTCCCGCATTCCGTGAGCTAGCCCTCACTTAATCCTAGACTGCGACACTTCTGCAAATTTAATCTGAAAATGCCGCATTCTGCAGTCGCTCTCTGCTGCTATTCAGAAACCTATGTTGACTTCTGACTGCAAATGTATTTCCTGCTGCTTCATGTCTCCTTGCTGTCCTCCAAGGACAACAGGTGTTCTGCCTTTGTTTGTCTGCTTGGAATACTGAATAGAACCTCAAAACATCCTTCCATACCCCGTATGACCTAGGACAGCCTTTTTGAGTATCCCCGTCAATCATCCCTCTCTGTGTTTCTATTTTTTCTTTACTTTCTTTTTTTAAAAAGAATTATTTTTTATTTAACTTTATTTATTTGTTTAAATTGGACTAGAGAGAGACAGAAACTGAGAGAGTGAGAAAGGAAGCTGCCAGACTCCAACCCCAATGTTGGCCATGTGAGAGTCCAGCACCCTTAACCACCACACCATCTGCTTATTTTTTTTCTTAATTTTTTAGAGGGCGCTTGTGCTCGCCAGAAAGAAAAGAAAGTAAGAAAGCAATCCCTCGATGGAGGATGGCCATGGCATAATCCCTTCTCCTCCATTCTCCTCTCCGGATTTGGACACACACATACCTGATGTGTTTATACAAGCCACAGGGTCCAGGACTCATACTTCATAGTCAGCCAAGTGGGAACCAGCTGCCTTAAACCACCAAGCCACTGGTTAGCCCTGTTGTCCTGTTTTTTTGTTTGTTTTGGAGAGGTTTTTGCTACAGAGCACATGTACTCACCAGAAAGACAGACAGAGACAGAGAGACAGAAAGTGAGAAATCATCCCCTGGGGGGGATGGCCACACTGCAATCCCTTCTCTTCCATTCTCCTCTCTTGGGCATGCTCGCACGTGATCCTGGCGTGAGTTGAAGCCACCGGGTCTGGAAATCAAACTCCGGTTAACTACATGGGAGTTCAGCGACATAGCCATTAAGCTAACTGCTGGTTCCTTGTCCTGTTTTTATTTAAAAAAAAAAAAAAAAAAAAACTTTTTCTATGGGGACCAGCAAGTGGCGTGGTGGTTAAGGTGTTAGACTCCCACATAGTCGACCACAGTTCAAGTCCTGGACCTGGTGGCTTGCTTTCTCACTTTCCCTTTCTCCCTCTGTCTCTCTGGTCAAATTTAAAAAATAAATAATAATAACAAAATAAAATAAATAATTGAAAAATAATATATTCTGAAAAATACTGGGGCAAGGGAGGGGGACAGCAAGTGGTGTGATGGTTAAAGTACTAGACTCTCACATGACCAACCACAGTTCCAGTCCTGCACCTGGCAGCTTGAAAGTCATGCCAGATGCGTATGCATGTGGGCCCAAAATCCTGAGAGGAGAAGGGATTGTGGTGTGGCCATCCTCCACTGGGAAGTGGCTTCTCACTTTTCTTCTCTTTTTCTCCAGTAAGTGTATGTATCCTACGGCCAATAAAAGAGATGCTATGTAAATACTGGTGACTTAGGGCACTAACTGTAGTGATTAGGCTTTGAGTCCTATAGGAAATTTAAAAAATAATAATAATAAATGAAATTGAATACATAATTATTATATTTTAATTTTAGGATTATTTAATTTTAGAATATTTTAAAGAATTATTTTATTTAACTTAATTTGTTTATTTATTTTCATTTGGCCAGAGAGGGACAGAGCAAGAGAGAGAGAGGGAAAGTGAAACAGCAAGCTGCCAGGTCTGGGACTCGAACTATAGTCGGCCATGTGGGAGTCCAGCATCCTTAACCACAACACCACCTGCTGGACCCTATCTTTTTTTAATTTAAATTTCTTTATTTATAGTCACTCATTGTATATCAATACAGTATACCAAATGAGATTTTCCATCCAGAATACATTGTATATTGGCTCAATCAAGGATGTTACCATATATGTTATAATCAACAAATATTTTTATTCTGCATCCTACAAAGATTTGTAATCATTATATGTAAATCATAAATTGCAATAAATATTCAAAAAGGAAAAAAAATATTTTTTTCTATTTCTTGTTTCTTATATATTTTTCTTTTTTAATTTTCCCCCTTGGTTCCTGACCTCTCACCCTTTGCCAATTCCCTCCCTTATCCCACACTGTCTCTGGTATCTACAGTTGTTTTCCATACCTTTTCTCCCACATTTTATTGATTCACTAAAGATCTTAATTACGTTAAAAACTCAATACTAGGGCCAGCAGGTGGCGTGGTGGTTAAGGGCACTGGACTCCCACATGGCTGACTATGGCTTGAGTCCTGGACCTAACAGCTTGCTTTCTCTCACTCTCTCTTGCTCTCTCTCTCTTTCACTCTGTCCTTCTCTGGCCAAATTAAAATAATTAAATAAAATAAACAAATAAAGTTAAATAAAATAATTCTTTAAAAAAAAAACTCAATACCAAGCACAGCTGATATATACATACCTATGAATACATGTCTGACTTTAGGAGTAAACCTCAGTGAGTAAAGTGAACATTCTATAAAGTAGCACCTCGCTGAGACTATGTAGCTTACTACAGTCATTAAAAAGGTATTAATAGTTTTTTTAACGCACTTTTTAATTTCAAGAAAAACAGTTTTAGTTTTAGTAGCTCAAAAATCAAAGCCTATTGGGTGACTAGCAGGTGGTGTGGTTAAGGCACTGGACACTCCCATGTGGTCAACCACAGTTCAAGTTCTGGACCTGGTGGCTTGCTTTCTCTCTCTCTCTCTCTATCTCTATGTCTCCCTCTGGTCAAATGAAAATAAATGATAAATAAGTAAAATAACTTTTAAAAATCAAAGCCTGTTAAAAGAAATTTGCTTAAAACTTAAAGCCAGGAAAAAGGGTAGGATTCAGTTCAAATAGTAGATAGATCTACCTACCAACAGTTCAAGAGAAGACAAAAATCCTTAAATATAGATATCAAAGCATCGAAGAAAATCAGTAAAATCAAAAAATTCTATTTCACTAGTTCAGACTCATGTAATTAGTATCTCTTCTATTGAATTTGCAGTGTTACTATGGTCTGATCTTTCTACCTAAATCTTGGAAGTTAACATTCAACATTATTACTGATATTTCTGAACTTGTCCCTACCATTAAGTTGGCCTTTTTCTTGGTCATTTTTTGTTCTCTTATTTCTGTCTGTCTTT